GATTTGGGTCCTAGCAGACAAGTTCCAACCGTTGGAATTCATCCCGTGGTGTGGATACGTGTAGAGGGCGAGGTAATCTTCCTCCCTTTCGTGATCAGACGTGTTCTTCGATTGATACAGGCCCCGGATCGATTGAGGTAAGCGTTCTAAAGTTTCTACGATTTCAATAGCAGCATGGTTCTAGGGTTCTATAAATTTTTGTTTTTCTTCCGCTGCGCAAACCCTATAATCGATCTCTTAGGAATATGATTCGCTCTAGAGATCCCAGGAAACCCAACAGTTGTATCTGAACCTGGTTGCTCTGTTTTGATTTCGTAGAACCCGATCACGCACGTTTTAGGATTTGAATTGTTTGAATCCATGTTTGCTTTGATATCTATGCATGTTTGATGATTGAATCTAGTGTAGATTGCATGTTTCATGTTGCATAGAGTGCAGGAGTTCGAATTTTGGGTGTACAGAAGAATTCGGATCAATTTCGGGTCTGATCGGGGCTGAGAACGCGGGAAAACGTGATCTGATCACGTAGACCTACCCTAGACCGTCCGTTCTGGGTAAGCTAGAACGGACGGTCCAAGGGTGACGGACTAAGTGGCTCGGAACAGAAGGTCTGTCCGGGACCGTCCGTTCTATCCATGCAGAACGTCCGTTCTACATGGTGGAACGTCCGTTCTGACTTCTGAAGTCGAGACCGAACGTTCTGCCAGCATGGAACGTCCGTTCTACCTCCAGAACGGAGGTCCGAAGTCCAGATTCCGAAAATTTCCGTTTTCGAGGTCCGATTACGCAATCGTTGCGTAATCTGATCAACTATAACTCAAATAGATATGATTCATTCTTATGGATGGTCCATAGTGAATGAATACATGTAACTTAATCAAGATATAGAATATGCTTGATTGAGCGGGAGCTCCGGGATTGAGATTACATAATCGAATGGATGGTCTATTCGGATTATGAACAATCGTTGCACAGAAACCGGTTAGATCTAGAAGCTCTATAAGTAAAGCACTTGTCAAGGCCTCGATCGTACGTGTCATGGGCCATGCCAAAGCTGGGTGTGCCGTATTATCTTGGTGAGGCAAGATGGAGAAATGGTGGTTCTCATAGCTTGAAAGTAGATGCTTGATCTAGGTGCGGTTTCGAAAATCCCTTATTCATGTAATGCTAAGTGTGTACCTCCCATTACTAGAGCGCCTGTCAAGGCATCGATCATCCGTAACACGGGTCATGCCAAAGCTGAGCATGCCGGATTATCTTTGTGAGGCAGGGTAGAAAATCGTGGTTCCTACAGCT